GTTATCATGTTGTACAGACATATGTTTGTGAGATGTTTATCCATGGTTAATGGGTGGTTTATTCATCCCAGTTGCCTAGATTCACACCAAACACTATAAAATAAACAAGTCATCTTTCAAAGTGCTAAGGCAGCTAGGCTAAAATATGGCTGGCTTGTTTGTCATTCTGTGCATTGTGTGCAAAAAGAAAACCACCTTTTTAATTACATGTTCTGTGGCTAAACATACAGCCTTAACCAGAGTTAAAATCTTGTTCAAATTGGGACTGAAAACTGCTGCTGTTTTCTCTTGTGCTCTGCTTGGTTGTTGTTGTTTGCCTTCCTTATGCTAAGTAGCCAGACTAAAATAACCACATGCATTGGAAAACATTCTACAGCATATTGATTTTGCTCTCAGATTATAGGGCCTGGAAAAGTAAAGTAGGCCTCTGCGAGGCAGTTTAATGAGGCATTGAACACTGCAAACGCAATGTGATCCACCTTGTTGGAGACCCAAAACTCTGCAAATTGTCTCATTTCACAGCTGATTGTTAGCTGTTAGTGGTCATTCCTGTTTCTCTTTTTAGGTAAGGAACAGGTCATGGGTCATCTTGTATTCCTTTAAAGATTATCTTGGAAGAAACAATGTGCTGTGATTCTGGAGAATCAAGTTGAACAAGTTCTGAGAATCATACAAATGCAAGCTAAAGACTCTGTGTAATCTCAACTCCTGATAACTACACAGTCACAGTCAGTAGGACAGGACAGAAGTGGCTTGCCCTCCTCCCAGAATAGTTTTCTGTTACCTATTGGGCCTACACCTGTGGCCCTAAGACCTCCCAGTGGTCTCCCAATCACAAACTGATCAGTCCTGAAACTGGTTCGCTTTTACACCCAAACAAATTTACCTCGCTGCTGCCAAAACCAAATACACAACTTTAAAATTCAGGATTGGATAGGAAGTTTCAATTCAGCGCTTAAATAGTTCTTAAAAATAAAACAGGATAAGTGGAATTCTTCCCTCCTTTAATCAGCTTTTTTTTTAAAAAAATGCTTACTGTACAAAGAAACCAATTATTTAAATGAGTGCTTATTATTTTTTGGAGAGGCATAATGTAAAGAGTTTGACTGGCTTAAGTACCTTGTCAGAGTTTTCCAAAGAATCTAGCACCAGGCCAAAAGTTTAATATATCCTCCTGGGCATTCCTCCCCTCCCCCCCCCCATTTGGGATCCTTGGTCTAGTTCTCACCCGAGCTCATCTGTAATTATAGTGTGTCACAATGATACATTTACAGTAGAGCATAAGACTCAGCTAGTAGTAAAGTCTTTTCTTTTGCACATTTTTTCCTTCACATGTGCTCTCTTTGACAGGCAGATTCTGTGCATGGGCAGGAATCTGAATTTTCCAGAGGGATTTTCCTCCAGGATGACCCCACCACCACTGATGATATGTGGGAATGATCATGGAAGACAGGAGGCAAATGCTGGACAACCAACATGTAGAAGAAGGAGAGGAAATGTGGGAAGCATTTTGGAAGGGAGCTTCCCTAGTTTCCTGGAGATAAAAGGAGGACAAAAATCAGTGGTAAATCCAATTTTTTTTACTACTGGGCGTGGCTGTGGGCGTGGCTTGGTGGGCATGATGTGGCTTGGTGGGCGTGGCAGGGAAGGATACTGCAAAATCTCCATTCCCACCCCAATCCACGGGAAGAATATTGCAAAATCTCCATTCCCACCCCACTTGGGGGCCAGCCAGAGGTGGCATTTGCTGGTTCTCCAAACTACTCAAAATTTCCGCTACCAGTTCTCCAGAACCTGTCAGAACCTGCTGGATTTCACCCCTGACAAAATACTTTCAGGCATGTAAGATTGTGTTAATACAACCTTACAAGAAAGATGGAGCTGGTATTCCCGGTTGGGCTTTTTGTTTGGACTACCACGAAGGGCCTCAGAATCATGACAGTCCTTGCCAATCCTGTATAGCCGACAGACATGACTGCCTTTCTTTTAAAGTGTTAAGATGTTGGTTTGTTCAGTTGATGATTCTAACAGTCCAGAAACATAGGAAGACTGCTCATATAAAACTATTTCTATGATTTAATAATTCAAGGGTGGGCATCTGTGGCAACTTTATGACCTCCAGACTAGACTGGCTCAGGAATTCTGGGAGTTTATTTAGTTATAAAATTTATTGGCTGCCCATAGGGTAACTCTAGATGGCTTACAGTTACAAATAAGTTAAAACATAAAAAATTACAATCAAACTTTAAAACCAAAGATACATGGGGAGGGTGGAGGCGGACTGGAGGGGGAGGTGGGATCTGTTATTACTCAACCACCTTCATTGCGCTGTTCCCCCACTGAGGCCCCAAGCCAACCTGGCAAAGCCATGACTTTAGGCCTTTATGAGATAGGAGGGTTGGGCCAACCTCACATCAGGGAGGGGCAAGATGTTCCAGAGGGCAGGAGCAACAGCAGAGAAGGCTATATAGATCATAAACCTGCCATAGTTGCCCACCCGAGTTAACTGAACATATTATGTAATTCACTACTACATCTGCAAAAGCATTTTTTTAAAAATTTGATTTATATGCCGCCCTTCTCCGGAGACTCAGGGCGGCTTACAATGCGTTAAGCAATAGCCTTCATACTTTTGTATATTTATACAAAGTCAGCTTATTGCCCCCACAAACTGGGTCCTCATTTAACCTACCTTAGAAAGGATGGAAAGCTGAGTCAACCTTGAGCCTGGTAAGATTCGAACCTGCAGTAATTGCAGGCAGCTGTGTTAATAACAGGGTGCTTTAAACCACTGTACTACCAAGGCTCCTTGGTAGTTCCAACTTTGATTGGGATCAATTTTTAATTTTTTTAATTTCCAGCTTTGATTGTGATTTACTGGTGTTACAGTGTGACAGCACCACCGTCCATCCTCTACCCTAAAATGTTTCAGAGAGACATACAATATGGTCCTCTCTAAATCCCACCGGGCTGTGCTCTGAGATCCAGCCATCCGATATATTTTTAGCAGGGGCTAAAAATCCTTCATATTCTCCTCGTCTCAGTTAAAATATGAGCACAAATGACTCAGCAGATGGCTGATTGTGTTTTTTGAATTTTGAGTTCTGGCAATGCCTTGAGGGAAGCAGGTAAGAAGACCAGAGAACACGGTGAGGGGAAGGGGGAGTCACTGACTGGAAAGAACAGAAGAAAAGACACCATTTCTCCTTTTTAATTCTAATTGAGATTGGCCTGTATTTAAAAACAGGAAACACGAAGACGGTGTTTGGGGCCTACAATAGCAAAGTAGGGCAATGCAGCACTTCAAATTGGTGGATAAAAAAGAGCTTTGGAGCTTGTGGGCTGTTACCACACTTGTCTGCAACTTCTTCAAGCAGCTGCATTTTTTTCTCTTGCCTTGTACAGACTTGCAGCTGCAGTGCAATCCTGGGGAAGAGATAGATCTGATTTACAGAGATGCAGGCAGGTGCTCCTTGTGCGACATGCCCTGGAGCCCCTTTTTACAACTGTAACAACTGTAGCACAAGCTTTTGGCCTAAATGCACACAGATCAACTTTGAAAGCAATCCTTAATTTTTGCAATAGCCATCTGTGTGGCCAGGCTCACAAAACATACAAAAACCATAGCAAGCTGAATTGTGGTTTACCGAAATAGCCTGGATGCTTTGAATCATATAGAAACTGCTGTCCTTAAGTTCATACAAAGCACTGACATATAAACTAGCCAGGCATGTTTTAATCAGTTCTTCAGTGCAAAAACTACTTTTTTCAGAAATGAGATTCTGAAGCCCAGCGGCTCATTCTGAAAGTCAGATGCATCAGCTGGTGAAACCAATAAGACAGTTCAAGTCTTGGACTGTGAATATTTCTAGAGACAGACAGAATGAATCCAAGATTGTAATAGCAATAAGCACTTAAGACTTATATACCGCTTTACAGTCCTCTCTAAGCGGTTTAGAGTGTCAGCATATTGCCCCCAACAATCTGGGTCCATTTTTCCGACCTCAAAAGGATGGAAGTCAACCTTGAGCTGGTCAGGATTGAACCTCTGGCAGTGAGCAGAGTTAGCCTGCAATACTGCATTCTAACCACCGCGCCCCCATACTGTAGCTCATGGAAATCCAGAATTATAAAATAAAGAAAAGGTGTGATATGTTGGTGCATTATCATATTTTTAAAGAATTTTCAGAATAATCTTAGATAATATCAAGTATGGTTATGCTGATACTTTTTATGCACACAAACATGCATAAGCTTAAATTCTATGGACTAGGAGGCAAACCTGAGCCTTTACATACTTAATGTAAACTTTTAAATAATGTATTATGGCTACTTTATTCATGCATAAATACAGATTGAAAGGAATAAGCCAACATAAAACTCACTTGCGAGACAAGATTTCAGTTAGCAAAAACAGAAATTCTTCCACTTACATGAAAGAATATTTTCTAAGCCATAAAATTATAGATCAAAGTGCCATAGAGAAAAGGTTACACACAATCTGTTCTACCGATTGTTTTATATTTCCCAGTGGTCTTCCATAAATGTTGTTTTTGAGGAAAAACCTGTCCAGGCCATGTTTGCGTGCTATATAAAATCTTCCTATTTCTGGAACACACATTATAAACACAGCAATCCTATGTGTTTCCATACATTTTAAAATGGATATTTTAAAATTTATTAAAATGCTGTATTTCACCATCCAGATTCTTAAGTATTTTCAGATATCTGAAGCTTGTGCTAGTTTATTTAAGATTAATAAAAAGTCCTATTATTTCCTCAAATGGAATGTCAATTACACACTTCTTCTCCATGAAAAATAAAACGTGAAAACTTATTTATTTTGGTTTAGCATTTTGCTTAGCAATCATGTTCTGTGTAAGAAGCAGTTCATAGAAATTCACCTTTTTCATCCTGTCTAATGTACCATAGCAGTCTATGGAAAAAATGGAATTTGATACAAATAAAGCATCCATTAAGTTTAAAGACTCTCAGCAGTATTTATTTTGAGAACAAAATACTTTATTTGTCAATAAAACTATAGTTTACAGTAGAATATACTAAATAAATTATGTAATTTATCCTTTACAAGCAATATATCTAATCACAAATATTTCAAAGACAATATATGTACACAACATAAGGCTTTGTTATAAATAGCTTCTTTATTTCACTAATAAACAGTGAAAATTTCTTTATAGAAGATAGTTTCCATAAAGTTATGTGCAGACATACTACCTCTTGTATGAAATTAACAGATGAGCAATCATAATTCTGGGGGAAAGGGAGAAAAGCAGAATTGATTTATAGAATAGTCACCACTGTGAAGATGGCGCTTTAAATAGGAAAGGCGGATTAGATATTTTTGTCCATGATCACTGAATACATGCAAATGAAAATACCACCTTCAAGTCCTGAAAAGACAATAGGAAAGTAGAAGTAGCAGCTAAAAGGATGGAAGAGGCAAGGCTTCACAGTTGAGCAGGCAACAGCAGGCCATGATTAGTTGTGGAATGTTTCCCATCTCATCTGCTGAGTCTAGGGTGGGATGTCTATAGTTCAAGATCTGTTTGATGATTTCTGTAGAGCTCTGATGATTAAGACTTTGTTTATCAGGCTTAACAAAAATTTTCCTCATAAATCTGGAGTGCAGAAAGTGCATTTGTTAAAATATGCTCATTTTCTTTCATCTTCTGTTACTGTAAAAAGAAAAAAAAACATTTTACAAAAGAACAAAATTCAGGAGTCTTATTTTCTTACACATGTAAAGCTGGAAAATGTTTTGCTGCTTTTATGTACTGCTTTTTGATAGATATAGATCAGCTTTTTTATAGTAACCACACCATGTTTTAATACTGCATGTTTATTGTACAATAATGACAGCCACCTGTTGCAAGGATCTATTTTTCTTCTTGTAAAAACACAAAATGGTACACATTGAGTAATACTTTGGCAGTTAAAACTGAATCTCCAGTGGCACAATAATAATATTTGGGACATTTTTATGGTCTGCTCCCAATTATGTGAATTTTATGTGTTTTTTCTATTGTTGTGAGCCGCCCTGAGTCCTTTGGGAGAGAGGGCGGCATACAAGTTTAAATAAATAAATAAGTAAGTAAGTAAGTAAGTAAGTAAGTAAGTAAGTAAGTAAGTAATATTTGCCTTCCTTTTCTCTCCTGATTGCTCACTCTTTTTCAGTGGGTGTTCCAATCCTATTACAGATGACCAAATCTGCAGCAATTTCAGGTTAATGAGTTTTGTTTTTAGAAACAAAAATGTACACTAATAATAAAATAAAAACATGCTGCCTATATGCCTGCTAAATATTTTGGTAAAAAACAAAAGTCACTCAATATCAAACTGATAACATATCACTCTTTCTTCATATGATATGCTTTATTAGAATAACATGTTTGTGTATTTCAAGAAGGTAATATCTTTCAGCTGAAGGACAGTACTGCCCTATTCCTTGGAATTTCATGGGAAGAATGATTGTGAGATCACAATATAATATCACCTGTACAGTCAGAATTAAAACTGCTAGAAAGTCTGGCTTCAAAGAGGTTCTTCTCCATCTATTTTTAACAATATCAATGTTTCTTTTTTGCTTAGACAAAGCTTATACTAAACTTAAAACTCTGTGAGGTCCAAACATTTTACTATATGACTTCACATTAATTTTGTCATATTGGTATGAACTATATTACCATATTCAGTTTTAAATTAAATTTTGCTCAGGCGTCTAGTATTTGGTAAAAAAAAATTTGTGATGCTATTTAAAACCACTTTATCTTTTTTAAAAAACTCACAAACTAAAACAAACAACAAAACCAAACCCCCACCCCCCATCCCCCACCCCGGCCAAGTTATTTTTATAGCCTTAAATGAACTTAGTATTTGTGGTAGAATCAATCCAACCATAGTAACAGAAAAATAAATCTTGGGAAGCATGTTGGAAATCTAATGCTGCTCAAAAAAAAAAAAAAAAAAAAATGTACCCAGCAACTATAAATTATACTCAATTATACTGAAAATGTTGGTAACCATCCATGTTTCCTGGAATGAGTTACATAGTACATAATGTGCAGCATAATTGGATAATATATGAGATACTGATGATACCAAATAATACATTATTTACTAACTACACATGAATAGCGGTATTGTGATACTCAATACACTAGAACAACCCTTCCCAGCCTGGCACCCTTCGGATATGGTGGTACTACAATTCATAGGAAATGTATTCCTAACATATGTGGAGACTAAACATATTTTATTTATTTAAACCATTTATATGCCCATTTAATATTGAACTCTGGGTGGGCTCCCAATCAACAATTAAAACAACTAAAAAACAGCACAATACATAAATCTATGAAAGTCACTCCATAAAGTGACTTTTATAGATTTTCATAAAAAATAGAGAATAGTGCTTAAGTTAATTAAACATCATCCATTAGCAATGGAAGTACTGAATAGATTGGCGAAGCTATCAATATCCTTCAAGTAATGCACAATACACTATATTGTAAACTCAGGTATCCAAAGTCAGGTGTTGTATCAATATTTTAAATGTCTTTAAATCAGTGCAATATCAGAGATAAAGCTAAAGAGCTTTTCTATCTTATAGAGTCTGCTGAGATACGTATCAGAAAACACATGTCAATCTAGATTTTTACCTCAGCATCTTCTGGAGATTGTGCAACTAAAGAATACGTAAACGAAAAAGGAATGAAACCTGGAAAGCCCTGAGTGAGAATGTATATATTTTTGGATGTGCATTGCGCATTACTTGAAAGTACTAATAGCTTCGCCAATCTATTTATTACTTATACTGCTGATGGCTACATAATTAACTTTAACAAAATTCTACATTTTTAGGGGCTTTATTAAGGGGCACATAGATTTAATAGATTAATGTATTATGCTGTTTTTACTGATGTTCTTTAGGATTGGAGTTCTTACTTTTGTATCACCTATTAATTATATGAAGGCTAAGATGGCTAGAATTGTGCTAGTAGGTCGGGGTGTCAAACTCAAGGTCTGTGGGCCGCATCCAGCCCATGGAGCAGCCCAGAGACACCGCAAGACGGCTTGCGGTGTCTCTGCCAGTGAAAACTGAGCTTGGAAGGGCCACGCGTGGACCTCTTGGGCTCCGTTTTTGCTAGCAGAGCACTGCAGGAGGCCATCACATCCGAAAACTTGTATCCTCCTCCTAACCTCTCCTGGTGATCTCCCATCCTATCACTGAGGATGCTTTGGTTACAAAGCTGGGTCTTCTTGTGTGGACAAGGACCCACACACTTTGCCCTCCCGCACACATGAGCAACCTGGCCAAGGAGAGTGAGAACAGTAGCAGCCGACTCGAGGAGGTAAGTGCTGCTAGGCACCCCCTTTGGGAAACAGGTCTGGTCTGGACTGTGGGGTCCCGGAGCCCTGGGAGTTTGAGGACCAGGCTGGGCACTTGCCCTCCACTCCCTAGGCTCTGGACAGCCTGCACGGTCATCTGGGGATCCTCTGCGTGGCCTGAGAGGGATAGTGTGGCTCCTCTGGAGGACAAGTGTTTGGCGCTCTCCTTGGTCTCACCTTCTTCTGCTGGAGACAATGGATACCTCCAGCCCTGCCCGGGCCACCATAGGTGTTCCTGATACAAGTGACATCAAGCTGGCTATGCCCCCCCACCCCACGGTCAAACACAACCCTGATGCAGCCCTCAATGAAATTGAGTTTGACACCCCTGTAGTAGGTTATAAACTAGTAGATCATGTTGGTAATTAATACTTAAGAACTGGGAGTTATATTTATGACCCATGTTTTTCCCATTTAAATATAAAACAGGCAACTGTTTTATGTTTAAAAGGTTTAAAAAGCTTTATGGAGAACAATCATGCAGTTAAATACTGCAGTGCAGTTACATTTACAATCTAAAAATATTTTTTTAAGAAACTGAACTTATGAAACTGATAATTGGGATAAGTAGCAGTACGTAATTGCTTTGTTCTGAACTCCCCTGGCAAATAGTAAGTTAGAAGTTTCTATACACCTGTATACAAATGACATGTCAAGTCAAATAAAAGATGCCTATGCTATTTTGTCGGCAATAGGTGGCAGCATTGTGTTTTGAAAGACAACATTGAAACTTGTTTACCGTTTCTTTGAAGATTTAGAAGGTTCTAGTTTTGGCAATAGCATTGATTCACTTAACAAAATAGTTGCAATACTGATTTTAATCTTGAGAAATAACTGATGAAGAGATTGTTGATAACATAATTGAATTATTCTATACTCTGCATGACCTTATCCCACAAAGAACAAGCTTGAAAAACTGTTCAGAGTCAGTAATCACTAGGAATAAGCCCTGTTCTAAAGCTGCTCATTCTTACTTAGTTTATCAATACCTCCAGTAGTGACACATATCTCATCCGATGACGACAGAACTTGATAAAATGGCCCTGAGATTCTATGTTTGGCCATACATATCTAATGGCATTGAATCTTTGACTTGTTTTGTTCAGCTTTTTTACTTCATGTTCTTTCTCCCTTCCTGTATGCCTTGAATTTATTATGGGTTATTTTGTATTCATGCACAAAGATAGTCAAAATAAAAAGATACTAAATCATCTTAGAATAATGTTTTACTTTTAAATGAAAGCAGGGATTTCTAACAGAATCTTGGCTGCTCAGATCAAGCTTTTCACTCAGAGTAACTAGGGTGCCTGTGTATATGAATGCTAACACTTGGACAAAAGAGCAAAAACAAAGACTTCTTATTGGTGATTTCCACTTTTTGTTGCTTTGCTACAGACAAACTTTGACTCAAGAAGAGGCTGCTGTGTTTAGTCTCAAAAGTAAGAGACTCACACAGAGTTTGCTTCTCAAGATGAAATAATGAGGTATCAACATAGGTCTTTCAGTGCATATAGGCATAAAAATATTTTCTCTCTCTCTCTCCCCCCATATACATACAACAAAAAAGAAATGTGCTTATTTATACACACACAAACACATAAAATAAGAGAGGCCCAGAATTTCAGCAGCTGATAGAATGGATTTGCAGCTAAGTAATAAACTATTTATTCTGAGTATGGTAGTTACAATCAGCCAAAACTAGAACATTAAAGAAAACTTTCTGAGCAGAGGGCTGCATTATGCTACCTTTTTACAGTTCCCCTGCGGGAAGCTGTTATGGTTAATAAAAATTAAAAATGGATTCAAATATCCTGACATCTGCCATGTTGAATATAGAGGCAGTGCCGACACAGGCAGTTGCCGGAAGGTACTCTGACATTACAGTATTCCTAACAGTTTCCTTTTCCCTAGAATCTATATTGTTTTTTCCCCCAAAAAGTGTGTGTGTGTGTGTGTGTGTGTGTGTGTGTGTGTGTGTGTGTATATATAGGGGCAAGAAACACTTACTCTTGAATACACTACTAAAACAGAATTATTTATAGTAGTATTCCCAAACATGATGTGTTTTAATGAATATGCAAATGGCAATGAAACACTCTGGGAAATTAACAGAATAATCTGTAATAATAACCAACCTGCTAGTTCCATCACAGCCACAAAAGAGATGAAGAGAAAACGTCAGAGACACTTCCCAGGTGGCTCATGGCCACTTTCATTACTGAGGTCCTTGAAACACAAAGACTGTGCATTCTGCATAGGGAATCAGAAGTGCTTAGGAGACAAGAACTGGGTGATAAACTGAGAGTTCCCACTTGTGGAAAATGGATTCACTCATGGGTCTGCAAAACTCTAATGCTTTACTTGAAAACCATTTCCTGAACTAAAAGTAAATCTATTATCAAACAAAGGTGTAATCATCATGTATGGAGGTCATCAAAATTTAAGCATCCTGCAATATCAATATTGTAAAAATACAGAGAGATACTTTACAAATACTTTACATTTTCTACGTTATGGAAAGGCATACTTAGGAATGAAATATTTACACTATACTATGAGCAGATTACAACACACAATGATTAAAAGTCAAGTTGAAATATAAATGCTTTAAAAATGTGATTAAAACACTAGTAACATTGCTTACTAAATATACATCCAGGACAGAAGCATTATCAGTCTCAGTTTCCACCGTGCTCTGTTCTGATGTCAAGCAGATGGCACTGTCTTCTAAAGTGAATGTTGAACTTGAAGGCAACCCTTTACTGGATAGGAAAAGAATATACAATAAGCATTCATAAAATGAAGAACCGTTTTGGCCATTCCTGGCCTATTAAACAGCTTTCTTCACATTTGTCAAGGTCTGGTTTAATGCTGGGTTGCCATGCAACTCTACCAAAATATTACTTAATCAAAGACCAAGCCCTTTGGCATCCAGAAACTTGCCAGGCCTCAATGCTACAATACACTAGCTGTTCTCAAGCATTTTCTTTAGAAACACAATCTCCTGAATTGTGATTTTACTATATACTCCTAGCATGCATTATATTAAAATACTTAACAGGAACAATAGAAAAATTCCTTTGGATAATAAAAAAAATCTCCACTTAATTATATATCCTCATTATATTCCAATGCTACAAAAACAACTTCCCAACATTACATTAGGGAAAAACCGGTCATGTATAAATTGTTGTTGGCAGTGTCATAAATAAACTTAATGTATTTATACACTATGATTTCCAGAAGTCAGCAGCCTAAAGGCATTTCTGCATTCTTTGTCTGTTTATACACACAACATCCACACACAACCTAAGAGCTGTTAATTTATTATGGTTATTTAGAAACAGGAAAAGCAAAACCTGATACACCCATAGAATGAGCCAGGCTCCAGAGTGAGTGATACGTTGTGGCTTTTCCTGTTTTATTCATCTCATGCTATAAATATATTATTACAGCTGTGACTAAATAATCTGTAACATTAAAGAGTTTATTCATGTGTTTTTGCATAGATTTTAGAACGATTTGTAATTCAAAGAAGGAAAAATAAACAGTAACATTTCCATAAAAACCTGTATAGTAGTTACCCTTCTATCAAAATAGGAAGGGAAGTACTCCCATAACATAATATATACACATTTATGAATGAGCACGAAGGCAGTTCAGGCAGTTCTATCTCCACAAGAATAGTTTGGCTTCACAAATAAATTATTGTGGCTTGAGCAAGATTCTTATTCATGTACACATCACTAGAGCAGGCCAAAGCTTCATCGTGCTTTAAGAAAGTTAGGGTTCATAGGCTCAAGTCCATTGATCTAAAGCATGCCTAAAGTTTTCCCAGGGCTAAAAGCGAACAACTGTGGCACAAGTGGGCTTTAGAAACCATTATTTCCAGACAGGCTTTGCTAGAAATATTGCTTTCCTTCTACCACCCATGTTTCTGATTTGCCCTTGTTTGCTGAAGCTTTGCCTTCTTCAGCTGCTCTCTGCTGGATATTTTTATAAATGTTGGCCTGACTGTTACGTTTATTGTGAATTATTGGTTTTAGGTATTTCAGATTATTCATTAGCTTCTTAATACCCTACTCATACCTTTAAAAGGGTTGGGAGAATTTAATCAGTCCAACATTAATTATGGCACCATCATAAGAATTTTTTTTATCCCACTTTTTCCCAAAAGAAGCCACATCTCTCTTTTCTCCACATTTTTTCCCATACAACAATTGTTTGAAATAGGTTAACCTAAGAGCTAGAGACTCATCCAAAGTTACTTAGGATCACTCAATAAAAACCTCAACCTGGGCGTTCAAAGTTCCAATTCATTCTTTAAAAATACATAGTGCTGGACCTTCTTTTTAAAATTTTATTTAACAATTATTATAATTTGCCCCAATCCCCAAAGGCTATGAATGAATACTAAAATAAGCAAAAAAGAAGAAAAAAATCATCTTGGCAATAAAACCCAAACCAAAGTTTATGACAGATATCTTCAATCAAAAGAGGCGTAGTCGAAATCCACCGAAGTAAATCCCCAATGGGGGCTGCACACGTATTTCTTATCTATATCCCCTTATCACAAGAGGGGGAATACTCTCAATAGACATTCTCTAGATGATTAAACTGGATGGCCAGATTTGATGCCATTGCTGGTTATATCCTAGGACCATGATGGCGAACCTATGGCATGTGTGCCAGAGGTGGCACACAGAGCCTTCTCTGTGGGCACATGCGCCATCGCTAGCTTTTCTAGCGCGCCAGTCAGCTGGTCTTTGCGGGTGCCGGAGCGCCTGAAAATGGCCTGAAAACGCCCCAAAAACAGGCATATGTGCATCGGCCAGCTGGTCTTTGAGTTTCCGGTGCTCAGGAGCGCACGAAGACCAGCTGGCCAGCACACACACATGCACACGCGTTCCGGTTTGGGCACTCAGTACCAAAAAGGTTCACCATCACTGTCCTAGGATCTATATTCTGCTATGTGTAGCTTTAAAGGTACTGAACAATCTAAATAGAAATTTCTATTTCAAGAATCCTAAAGTCATTTGTAAATTTCCTCCTAAAAAGCTCCATTAAGAAGCTCAATATGTTATAAATAAATTAAATAGCCATCTCATAGTTAAGGGAGAAGTGAAACTATTTTTAAAATTGCCCTACCGATTGTATGTATCTTTCTCAAACTCGGGTGCTCTACCATAGGCTTGGGAGTTTGAGGGTTCAACATCTTCGCTGTTCCTAGCACTTTTCTCTTCTGGGCCAAGAGCTCTGATGTTCTCCTTGGGATTTGTTGAAGCCATTCTCCCAGCTTAGGAGTCACAGCCCTACAACCACTGAGAACACTTTGGCCTTTACTTTCTACATCTTCTCTAGTTTGTCCTTTCAGACCCTGGTATTTCTCCAATTTCTCATACTGGTTATTTCTGATGTTGCTGTCATTTGGCACTGTCACATCTATCACCATCACTGTCTTTTAGTCCTTGTCTAGTACCACCATGTCCTCTTGAGTGCCAGTACCTGCCTGTCCATCTGGATTTTGGAAGACCCATAGGATCTTAGCACTGCTATTTTCCATGATCTGTCTATTCCAAGCACAGATTGATCAAAATTAATTCTTACAGTCAAGTGTATTTAGTTCATCACGTACACATAGTCAAAGATATACCATAAATGACAGATAGATATTCTTAATTTGAATTTCAATTATTATTGGATTCATATTTTAAACAGAATGCTTAGTAAATCTTGAAATACATCTCCGAGAGAAATTGGTTATACTCCTTTGTAGGAGGAGGGAAGTGCAGTGGCTCAGTAGTTAAAATGCTGGGCTTGTTGGAAAGCCAGAACCCCAGACTTGAGACCTAAGCACCATGTAATGGTGGCGTTACTTGCCCCAATCTCTGCTAACATAGCAGTTCAAAAGCATGCAAATGTGAGTAAATAAATATCAGTAGGCACCACTTTGGTGGGAAGGTAATAGTGCTCCGTGATGTCATGCTGGCCACATGACCACAGAAATAACTTCAGACAGCGTTGGCTCAATGACCTTGAAATGGAGATGACTACTGCCCCCTATAATCGGCAACAACTAATACAGTAAAACCTGCAGGGACTTCTTTATCTTTTTTTTTAACCTTTGTAGGAGGATTAGATAAGATCATGATGAAAACCATGTGAGGCATGTTATATAACCATGCTATATAACAATTGTGGCAAACCTTTGCACTGCTTAGCCATTTCCCTTTTAGCGTTGAACCTACAAAGGGCCACACGGTTTATGGATTGTAACTATCATATAGTCAGACCATGTATAATTGGCAGACTGGATTTTATTATAGATTTTAGTTGTTATTTATTATTTTATACTAGAATTTGTAATTGTATATATACTGAGTGCTTTTATTTGTTCTGGTCTCTGGTCTAAGACTGTAATAATAAAGTTGTTGTTGTTGTTAACCATGTGAGGCGAGAAACACTAATTTGAATTTAAGAGCCAGTATGATGGGGTTTTTTTTTTGAGAACAGGTGAGATCAAAATTGATGAATGGTTTTATAAGGAGTGCCAAATTAGATAAAAAACCAATAGATAATATCTAAGCTTCATTATCTACCTATAGCAGACATGTTCACAGAGTTCAATTTCAGAATTTAAATTTGCATGGTAAATTGGTGTGAATTCCATCACATCGTCTAAATATATATTCCATCGCATAATGCAAATAAATCTTGCACATCATGGCGAGACATAAATTACTAGTATTTCTTACAACATTTAATACTATCAAATCCATCCAATTCAGTTCAGTCTAACTAACAAAATACCCATTTATATTTCCAGGACATGGCTGAGACAAGATATTAACTCTACACTAATGTCAACTGGCTCTTCCAAGATTATTATTTTTATTTCAGACAAATATTAACTCTTCTTCCTGGCAATAGTTTGCTAACAATTCTTTTCCCGGAAAACTTTGAAAATTAATGTTCTGCTGAAATGAAGGAAGATAAACTCTGAGGGGAAATATTTTTCACAATGCTGAAAATACCTCACTTTTCAAATGACATTTTGGCCCTCCTTTTAAAACCATTCATCTATCTTGATCTTACTTGGTCTCAAGGGCACCATCATACTGGCACCTAGCTTAAAATTAGTGTTAACTTTCTTGCCTCACGTGGCTTTGATCATCCCCATGTGTACTCCACAAAGAAACCAGACGCTATAACAGTGAAAGAGCAAAGAAGAATAAACCATAAAACAGTAGAAAGATGGATGAAGAATACTGCCCTGAAAATAACTCTATGTTTCCTTGCAGAAAATAATTACTTGCTTTCCAATAAACTTAACACAGTTTTGTGGTATAGATGGTGCACTTCAGGCAAAGCCATTTTAGGTTGTATAGTTGGTAAAATGTATCTATTCTCCTTAGAGCAGGGGTGTAAAACTCAAAACCAGCGAGCCAGATCCAGCCCACGAGGTGCTTAGATCTGGACCGCGGGGCTGCCTTGGAAACAGCAAGCACTGCTGGCCTGCGGTGTCTCTGCCAGCGAAAATGGAGCTCGGGAGGGCTGCACACAGCCCTCCAGAGCTCCGTTTTCAGCTGCAACGGCCTCCTGCAACCCTCTGCCAGCAAAAATGGAATGTACATGGCCCTCCCGAGTTCTGCTTTCACTGGCAGAGTGCTCGGGCGACCATAGGCACCCCCTGACATGAGCTGGCCATGCCCCCTGCCCTGAGGTCAAAGACAACCCTGATGTGGCCCTCAGTGAAATTGAG